CCCGCCTCGGCTTCCTAGAGAGCTAGGATTACAGGCGTGAGCCACCGCGCCCGGCCAGTTATATTAGTTTTAATAGCTGCACTATGTTTCATTCCAGCAAAGCCTTGTGCTTTTCTGTTTCTTTTTCTCTTTTATCCTTATACCCTATTTCTTTTTTTTAAAATTATTATTTTTATTGACTTATGTGGTACATGTGTAGATTTGTTACATGGATATTTTGTGTGGTGGTGAAATCTGGGCTTTTTGTGTAACCCTCACCTCATCAGTGTACATAGTGCCCATTAGGTCATTTCTTATCCCACACCACCCTCCCACACTTGCAGGTCCTCAGTGTCTCTCATTCCACTCTCTATGTCCATGTCACTCATTACGTAGCTTCCAGTTGTAAGTGAGAACTTGCTGTGTTTGACTTTCTGTTCCTGAGTTATTTCACTTAAGATGATGGCCTTCAGTTCTGTCTATGTTGCACAAGACATGATTTCACTGTTTTTGTGCTGAGTAGTATTCCATGGTGTATATATACCTCATTTTCTTTATCTAGTCATTGGTCGATGGACACTTAGGTTGATACCACCCTCCTCTCATCTCCATAGGCAGCTGTTGCAATGTGTTTGTGTATATCTCTTATGTATTTGTTTTGTATACGTGTATTTTTAGATGCATATATGTTGTGTTATGTCTCATTCAATTTTACTTTTCCTTGAGTATTATGTTTCTGATCCATCTGTTTTGCTATGTGTATGTCAGTTGCTTCTAACTGTTATATGTTGGTCCATGGTATTCATCCTAGTCTACACTTGTTTTCACTGCATCATGCACCCTTCTTACGGTACTCTGAATAATTGCACATTAGAGTGATTTGCCCCACTAGATTGTAATTTCTGTAGAGCAGAGATCACAGTTTTTACTTAATGTCATCTCAGGATACTTAGGAAAGTATGTCTGTGGTAGGCACCAAGTTGCTACAGCTTATCAGTTGATTGATAATACTGTAAGATGGGGACTTTTAGGTTCTTGGCAGTAACTTGAAAATATGGAAAGGTGAGATCTTGAGTTATATTTTAATTAAGCACTCTTTAAGGTGAAGTCATACTTCTCGAGCTTTATTTACCTCCTGTTTCCACAATTAAGCCCACTAGAAAGAGCACAGAACTTAGAGTAAGAAGACATGGGTTTGAGTCATTGCTCTGCTTATCAGCGTAGTAATTGTTATATTAACAAGGTTCCCAGGCCGGGCGCGGTGG